TCACACCACACCACACACTATACTACAACAGTATAGCGCGCTTTAAGTTACAAAGGTTGGTTTCATGTAGTATCTCCTCGTAAATAATGTTTACACTAACCTTTTGCAGATGCGTTTTCGTATAGCTTTTAGCATCGCATTAACTATTTTAAATCGATATAAACGAAATTCGTGATTCTATATCTTTTGCTATCTTGGCACTATGTTAATTCAAACTTTGTTTGCTCCCTAGCCGTGGGTCCCTAATGAATAATCTGTCTTTCGTATCATAGGATGGGTGGCACCTTATGCATGGCCTTTGTCGTTAAAGAGGAGCCGCTAACTTCGAGATGTTGCAGGAGAAAGCGAAACAGAAGGCGTCGTCGTAAGAATATTGTAGTCGGTAGGCCAGGTGTAGAATTTTCTAACTAAATTGTAGCATTGTCTGAAATCCAAAGTGGAGTGTTTCCTGATGGCCCCATCGCCCTGGACTGTGAGATGGTGGGAGTCGGTCCAAGACGCCAGAATGCACTAGGCAGAGTAAGCATCGTCGATTACAATGGTCGCGTTGTTTACGACGTCATAAGCAAACCCGAAGAGGAAATCACCGATTTCCGCACCCAGTGGAGTGGAATACGAGAGTCCACAATGCATAGGGCTATTCCCTTCGCACTCGTTAAGGACCAGGTGCGAATGGTAGTGAAGGTAGGTGAATTTTATTTGCGTCCTGGCTCTGTTAAAGTCTTGCTACCACTGTAATTTGGCACAGACGTATCAATAAACGTGTGTCTACCAAAATGCAGTCTTAGCAACAGCTGTGGTTTTCCATTAAATGCACAAGTATTATCGTAACTCCTCGTGCATTTGGCTTAAGTTTTTCGATTTGGGTCCAATATGCATTCTGGATATTTGCTAAACCGCAGTGTAAGTAGACTAGCACCGCGTTTACGTGAATGTTTTTGTTCTTCGTTAGGACCGCGTCGTCGTTGGACACGCGCTTAAGAATGATTTAAAGGTCTTAGGTCTTGATCATCCAGCAGACCTGAGGCGTGACACTGGTACCGCCCCCTACGCGAAACGCAAAGCAGGTCTTCCACCCAAAGGACCTATTGCCCTTCGACGTCTAGCCCACGCTCTTCTCAGTAAGTGGTCTGCGTATCCTTAAGTCAAACCGATTGTCAGCATCGTAGTATCGTAGTTAACGAGCTTTTGCACATTACGAAATCAGGGTGTGCACCATTGGGGTTGGATCTTGTTACAGTGGCTTATTTTAGGCTTGAAGATTCAAACAGCTGAGCACAGTTCGATAGAGGACGCCAGTGTAACAATGGCCATCTACAAGTTGGTTGAGAAGGAATGGGAGGAAGACATTCTGCGCCAATCAGTCAAAAATCGGCGCCGACAGCTGTGACATCTCGTTAGTGTGGCGACTACTTTGTTGAAAGTGAAGGGCTACTGGCAAGCACTGCAACCTTAAATCTACGATCTACCTGTGCCTTTCACAGAAATGGCGCTTCGCTGCCATTTCGTCTGACTCGACTTCTTCCGCCGAAACCCTACACAAATACATTTTACCGTCTATTTTGACATCCAACATCCGAACCTTGTCCATATGATGTTTCCTCAGGTCATCGCTGCAGGGGTTTCGAACGCCCTTCTGTCGATAGGACATTAGAAGCCGAAATACCAGTTTGTAGAATGAATGTGCAGGTTTATTTGTTACACATCAATAAACGGTGACATAATTACATGTAGCGGGGAGCGCAATTTTATACAGGATATGCGGGCCACAATCTTTACAAAACAACTTCACCTCTACTCCTGCTGTACAAAAGGATTTGATATCGCCTCCATGCCGTCAGCCGGACAGACAAGCTCGACAGATGGTCCCCTGGAAAGATAAAAACACAGTTTTTCATAATCAACAATGAATAAATCAAGCGAGTTGACCACGTGAAAACCTAGAAGCGACCAGGTCTCCTGGTCAATCGACTTGAGATCTTCGTTCCCCAATATACCCCTATTAACCCACTCCCATGGAACAGATAAGGGACAATTAAGGCGACTGTTGATCCTCGTATACACGAGGATACAAGGCGTGGCAAATTTTACTCTTACCGGCAAACTACTAGACCTAGTTCGCGGGAGTCCTCCGTGAGTCTCGTGTGGTCTTCAGGGTCACGGAGGTACTCGATTGTATTGTCCAAGACCATGTTTTGAAGGTTGTCACATCCCTTCAGAATGCCAGTTGCTTCGCGACCACCAGTAAACTTTACCCGTATCCGCTTGTCAAGATAGCGTGTCAAGTCAATAATAGACTCCTTCTTTGGCCTTTTTGTAGTTTGCTGTTGGTCGCCAGACATTATAATCGCTGCAAGACGCAAAAACCAGACCGATTACACCAAAAAAAAACTTATAGATAAGGCGTTAAAGATTTATTTAAAATATAAACTTCAGCGGCTGTTGATAGGGGCGAAATTGAATATAAGATAAGCAACAAGTTCTAAACGACGCCATCACACAGGAAACCCAAGCTAAATTGCATGCCTATGAAAATTTTGCGAAATTACAAATTTAAGGGAATTTAGTTGACTGCACTACCAAGTGTTGTATGCCAATTTCCTTAATGAGAATAATCAATAAGTCAGTGAAATAATATTAAGTACCTCAGTACTAGTTCAGATAGATTTGCGCTTTCGCGTAAATATCTGATTGGCTCTACGAGGTCTCCTGAGTTGTCTGCTCCAGACTGAAATCACTAATGCTCAATCGAAAATGTTGGGAGTTTAGAATGGATAGGAAGCAATCAATTAATTTTGACTGCAAGGACGCTTGCTAGATAATTTGCGCGATAACATTTCGTGCTGATGTCAACATTGATAAGGAAGTGACAATTAAGTGCAAGTCTATTTCCAAATACATGGATACCAAATCTTACCTTTATTATTATACTGAGCGCCAGACATCATCATCAACATCGTTCCCATTGTGTCAAATTTAAAAAAGCAGCATCTTTAGAACAATTTTCCCTAATATTAATATTGTAATGTAGCGCTATTAATTTTATATGCCTATCATTATTTAATTAGGTTAGAGATATGAATCCTGGTAGACTATTATAGTACTTGCCTAGTGATAAAATTAATAGAGGCCTCGAATCTACATTTGTTAACTTATGTCAAGAGTAACACAATTTCAGCTTTTAAGCATAATTAATAACTGCGGTTATTATTGTAGTGTTACACATAATCAGATATAAAACAGTGGCATATAGGAGTGGACTAATATTAATTATTAAAACCTATTTCTTGCTCAATCTTGTTAGATCCGACAACTAGAAACTCTCTACAAGATTATTAAACTGCTCACTACTTTAAACATTGCAAAGAAATTTATTTTGGATTATATTACACACGACCCTCTTTTGATGGATATTTGGCTCAAAATTATTTTGCTTATGCAGGCATTATAAATTCACAAAGTTTAATTTTTAAGCTTAAAAATGGCTATCAATGTTAATGTTTTAAAAAAATAGGATATTGCGAAATTAAAAATGGAATTGTTTTACTATCTAAGGTCACAAATTTGTAAGCGTTAACTCAAGTTGGCGTCATTCGTATAAATGAGATTGTCACCAAATTTTTGCTCTTGTTCAGCGCAAGTTAATGAAGCTAGGCAGCATTCTAGATTAATTGATACGCAGCTCCATAACTATGTTAATGAGCAATTAGTTACCACCAATGTCATTATTTTAGGTAAGTCAACTTTGTTCAATTATGAATAGGAAACGAATCTAGTGGTCGTAACACAATAGTAAACCAAGTAAGGTAACATTTTTTATCTGTTAATATTATTTTAGATCGCTAAGTGGACGCGATTTATCTGATGAAGACCGTGTTCTCTTACGACTGCCCTTTCTTGCTCAAATAGTTTTAAGTCTCAAAAAGTTATTGCGCGATTTGGGTAACTTTGAAGAAGGATTTAACTTGGAAAACACAATTGTGTGTTTTTTTTATAATTTACTTGCCTCTGTGTGTTGTGGGAATCTCCAATAATCTGTTTTTGCTTCAATGATTTAGGAAGATGCTCAACTTATATTTAGAAACGCCGATCAAATAAAACAGGGTAACTTGTCAACGAAAGTTATTGCAGCCTTAAAAAACCTTCGTCAGGATAATGCTATGCAGAGTTACCTAAAGGTGGCAACTGACCAGGCTGCTGACTCTTCGAACTAGTAACCGATCCTTAAAAATGCATATTTTAGCTTTTTTTCATCTCTCGAGCGTTTAATTCACAATAACTTTGTGCCTTCAGAAGACGATATGCTGCACATTAAATGCGGCTCATGTGGCATAGCAGAAGAAACCATTACACATGTAGGAGACTCTTTCAGGTTAGTTTAATAAATACTTATTTGCACCTCTTTTTAGATTTATCTGTGTCTTTACAAACCGCTCATCAATAAAGAAGTGGGTCCACTTTTTTGAGGAAGTGGATGCAATTATTTTTATCGCGTCCCTCGTCAACTATGATGAGCCACTGATCCACGACCCAGAAAAGGTTTGCCAACAGTTATTCTTTTAATAATTTTACGCCCATGTGACTGATAATTGCACAGCGCCGGGTTACTCGATTGTCAAAATTTCATGTTTTACCATATCCGATCTAAATTTAATTTTCTTTTCAAGGGTATTATTTTAAGAATTGCGGTAGTTTCAAAGTTTTTCACGTTCGAAACTGTGTTAATGCTGACTCACTTATGTGTTCATAGGAGTGCATTGAATTAAAATGCGTTTCAATTTTTGAAACCAAATCAATTAATGTGATTTCAGGTGTCTTTTTCCAAAGCGCAGTTTTTTTAAAAAAAAACATAAAAGCCGTACATGAGTGATTCGCCATTTCGGTCAAGTTGTCACGTTAAGCCTTTGTCCGGACCTCGAACTCTGTTACGCATCACAAAAATACTCAGATTTGCCCTCATAGCCAATGGGGAAGTTGCAGAGTAAAAATGAAAAAAAAAACGCACAAGTGCAACTTCATGACTTTCATGCTTCAATGCATAGCAGTAGTCACAGCTTGCTATCATTTTTAGTAAATGGATTACGAACTACAGTTGGGACATGTGGCTTCTATTTCACACCTATTCATGCGCGAATTTAAGTGCTGTTTGTGTAAATGCAATTATTTCCCTTATTGAGATCGGAAGCAAATCACTCATCTGTGATTCAGCAACACATGTGTTGTCAATCGTTTGAGGGTAAGACAGTGAATCATCCTAATACTTATAAGTAAAAGCTAACTATGTACGATCTTGGGTCATCCTCTTTTGTGACTTAAATCATTTATAGTGTCATGCAAATGCTGAAGGCACACAGTCAGCTCATAAGGCACTTGTTTACAATCGTGTTTTAATGGTTTCGCAAGCCGTATCAACAAGGTGTGGGACCTTGCAACGTCCTGATTCCATCTGCAAAAGTTTCTAATTTAAGCAGTTATTCTATCCTCCAAATCGGTTTAAATAACGCAAAATGAGCTGCTGCAAGTAAAATAGCGCACAAAGAGAAAAAAATAAAGAAAAACTTCTCAAGTACTACATAGAAACAAACATTCCGTCTTGAAAAACATACCTACTTTAGCATTAAATCTTCAAAATTTTGCTGTAATCTGATAGCGTTTTGCATTAATTTACTGAAACTTAAAGACGGAATATTTAAATGTGGGCTTCAAAGAAATCAGTATCAATTTCTAACTGATTTATGAGCGGTGCATAGAATAGGATTACACTTGGAATCGGCCTGTTCTGACTCATTGTCTCGGATTGCTTCTAACTTCACATTTGTAAGTTGTTAAAAGTAAACATCTAGTCAGAGTTTTTTGTCGTATCGTTGTTGCTTAGAAAGAGCATGACAAAATGACAATTCGATGGTGCAATCACAGGGAATACAACACCTAGTTTCTGCTCTAAGCAATTTTTTTCTACTTAGAGCAGTTTTCTTCTACTGATCCCAGTAAACAGTCGATTTGACTCTGTGGTTTGAGCTGATTCATCACGCCTTGACCATGATCGTTTTTGGTGTTCGTGCATAACCCAAATGATTTTCAATTGCTACTTTCCTGTGGGACATTTAAGAGGTTCCTTCAATTCTTTTGTGACCTATTTTAACCCCAATTCGCCAGCTAATTTGGATTGAACAAAGTGGGTGAACGTTGATTGGAAAATCTTCAGAACGAAATTGTTTAAACGATTTCTAGCACGTGCCTTCTGCTGCACCATCACTAACGCCTAACGTAAACTTTCCACACATCTCCTTATGCGCCTCAGCCGCCATCCTGTGTTTAGACAATTAACGATTCGTCATGCGTTAAAAAAATTGTTTTCGCAATCGGAGACGTTTCGCTTCAGGGGTCAGCTGTTAGTGATGGCTTTCAGGTCAACTAAAGCAAAAAAAGCACAAATTTCTGAATGCCTATAAACATTTTACCGAATGTCATATTCATGAATAAATATTTTCAAGACTGTGATATTACTTAACGTGTTCATGGGACTGCGAACCCTCTCTTTAAGTTGTCAATTTTACCCCTTGTAATTGTAGTTGCGTCTCCGTGATGATATGGCTTATTTCGAGTCGATTTGCAACAGCAAGTGGTTCGGCAATTGCTCTCAAATTGTTCTCATTCTCAATAAATTCGACTTGTTCACAAGAAAAATTGCTACCTCTCCACTGAAAATTTGTTTTCCGGATTACCGAGGTAAGCCAATTTTCCTTCATTTAACTCAAAATTGTAAAATTATCGTAGAGAGTTAAAAAGCCCTTGGACAAATTAAAATCTCTCACTTGCCATGCCTGTTCTCTTTCTAAATCTAGTAGCTTCGACCTAATGAAATGCGGTTAGCTGCCGTTAGTCCCTTGCACTAATCACCTATTTGCATATTCGCTCGTGTGTAATGTGACAATTTAATGCCAGTAGAGTATGCAAATCACCCTTCTTAATAACACGTCGAAGCTTCTATGGAAACTTCATCTAACACACGGCCTCCCTCTAGCATTTCTTTGTGTTTTCAACATCATTTTTTGTAATTTTTGTGAGTTTTATGCTAAATTTAAGCACGTTAGTTCATTGAAACCACAATATCAACTAGCTACTTCCGAAGAACATCGTAAAATCAACTGGTGCCAACGATGTGAGTCCTTAGTAAGTGTTTTCCCAAATCTCTTATACATGTTGAAAACCTGACATCCAACTTAAATTGTTTAGCAGACTTGCTTCTAGATGTAAACCTAGGGTAGTGGCGTGTCTGTAAACTGTTCCATCAGTTAACAAGGGTCCACAAATGACATGGGAACAGGTTTGACCCCTGATTTGCGTTGTCGAGGGACATGTGGGCCTCACTCAATAATAATAATAATGGTGTTTTGGCTACCTTAACCGCCAATAAGACGAATGAAAAGTCTGATAGGTTTTAACCAATAGGGTGGCGCGCGGTCGACTTAAAACCGTGAGGTGGTGTGCAGCGACGAATAGGTTATTCACTAGTATGAAATCATTCTGGATTTATTGATAAAACTTGACCATCTGACAACCTCCATTTACACCATCAAGTGCCGATGAATTCAGATGGTCCCAAAAAAATTGCGATATCCTAAATGTCGACCACATCGATGTGTAGGTAGTAAAAAGTTTTACCTTTGCCGATACAACCATCATATTTAAATTCTCCAAAGACGAATCGAATAAAAAAACAATCGCCGTAAAACACAGAAAAAAAATTGGTAAATTTTATTTGCAGAAATCTTAGTGTTCCAAATCTGTGCTTGGTGGAGTTTGTGCAGAAACAGGAGGCTTAATTTCATGTTTTCGGTGATGGTTAACACCGAATTCAACGTGTCCGCTTAGGTCGACAGCATTTTAACCAAAATGCAATTTTCTCGTGCTTCAAAGTACGGCTATACCGACTTTCAAACTATTCGGAAATAATCTTCCACGATGTCTGCATTACTCCGGAAGTAATTTGGTGTGCTTAGTAGCTACCGAGAGATCGACAAAACGGTCTTCGATATGCCTTCCAATGTTATTTGATCCTACTCGCTCAAGAATCGGCAGGTCTCTTGTTGTTTGTTACTGGACAAATTGTACGCAGCAATTATACATATAAAGGTCTAGTAACGTGGAGATGGTCAATTCACCGCAACCTCTATTTTCCCTACATCAAAGCGACATGGATAGCAATACGCAGGGTGGCATTCCTGATACCCCTGTCTACGCCAGAAAATTTTCTTAATTAGAAACACCAACCAAAAAATATGCATCATAAAACAATCGTGTATCTATACTTCTTCCCTTTTAAAAGAAGTGATTAACTTTATAATCTGAACACAGCGCTTAATTGCGGTAACGAGTCAGTCAAGGGCTTGTGTTGTAGACAAATCGATAAGCGTCTATTTGGCGCCAGAATATTTCAAGGGTGATGATTTAAATAAATTATCTTTAGTTTGTTTATGGTGGGTTGTGTTCGTCTAGTGACGGCAACTAAAAAGTGAAAAATGAAGGTGAATACACGAGAATTAACGGTTTAGGTAGAAGACCGCACACAGAACCCTTATTTCCAGAGTTTTTAATCAAGCTGCTTGTTGTTTAGTGTTTGTGTGTTACTGTTACAGGCTCCTCTGATCCAATGGAGGCTGCACAATTCATCCAAAAGAAATTCGAAGCCCTCAATCGGAATCCCCTTAGAACGGTCCACTCCTATATCACAAGCGTCCGGAGCAAAGATTCTGTGAAGGAGATTGTCGATGCCATCATTAATCTTACCGCGAAATCATCAAAGACATAATTGCATTAATTTAAAATTATCTCATCCGGTTGCGTTTGAAGTGGTGTCTCACGCAAAAATAACAATGAGTCCTGTGGCCAATAAAGAGAGACTGCACGCGAATTACCACTTTATTTGATGGCAGTTCGGTCAGGTGTGCATGAGTTAGACTTTGATCGCCTGAAACTTGGAACCTTTTATTGCTCCAAGCCTTATTTGACATTGTGCCAAGGGATTTTTAAGCGGGTCGGAATTAGTCCTGCTGACAAGGTTTCTTTGTTTTGAAATAGCGCAGTATAAGCTGAAATGTTTCTCCATTTTAAGAGACAACTAACCCTCGTTCTGGAGTCATTTTCTCTGTAATGACACCTCATTAAATTTACAAGCTAGACTTATGAAGCATGTTGAAATTATGAAAATAAGCAGAGCTCTTATTCGTACATCAAAAAGCTGGCGGTTGGGCAATAAATGCTTTGAACCCGAAATGTCACCGGTAGAACCACTCAGTTGCTTATTAACAAGCATTTAATTAGAAGTCTGGTAGCGGTTGATTGACGACTTATTGCTTAATAATCTCGTCCTTACGTCTAACTATTCAGATTTGGCAATCTCATAAACTGTATTTTACCCGCATTACACTTAACTTGTGATTCATATTTCGTCCGTTTTTGTTCATTTTTGGGCTAAATATTTGGGTAAAATTCAGTGCTTTCTTAATTTGTTTGTTCTTAATTTTACCTTCGCAGCAATTTCGCCCCATTTTATAGCTGTGTTATCGCGCCTTGCAATGCTATTAATATCCAATCTCCCGTTTGCCTAGTGTACTTTCTTCGACGCCAAATCACTATTTGTGTGAATGCGCTTACCTGACCTAATCCCTGCATATCAACGACATCTTCGTTGTGGATTAATATAAATTTGCTGCGAGAAAAGTTGCTTTCCATGCCCGATCAACCTTAGAATAACACACGAAACGTTGACTTGTGAAAGTAAGGAATTGCCTTAACTCGAAAATGACCAATTTTCTTCGAAAATGCAAAATTAGTTGCCTGATTTAAGCTGAACTTGGTGTTAAAACAGGCTATACTATGTTCATTCCTCTGCGTGATCACTTTTTTTTGGCCTACGTGGTCGCGTAAACTTGCTAGACGAAAATATTACTCGGTTGAGAAGCCCTAATTCAACGCCTTCATTGTGATTCGCTTGGATAATTTATGGGTTATTTTAATGATGTACCACCTACGCACCACCGTCGATGTTCTATTTTTATAAAAATCTCCTACTCGATTTACTGACTGTCTACAACTGATTAGCTTCAAAATGTCAGTTGCCGAACCCGAAGTACTTGTTTTGATGTGCTAAGGTCGTAGGGGGACCTTGATTTCTAAAAAAGTGCTCCTCATTGGGCAATTGGTAAGCTCGAAAACACAAGTGCTTGAGATGCATTAAAAGGTAATTAAACTATAATTAGGTCTAATCAACGAATCTGTGGTCCATTTCTGTTTAGTTTGCGTTCAAATTCACAGCTTCACAACCGACTGCTCCGAGAAAATCAATTTTATTGATTAACTTCGTACTGCCAAAAGTAATAAACATTGCCTTGCAGTTGAATTTGCGTTCAGTGTGTTCTTTACCTCGGTTTTTTGGGTTTTCGGACGCGTAAAATGAGTTAATGTAAATTAATTTTGGCTTAATCTAGTCGCTGGAAAGAATTAGGCTGATGAGGATACAAGTTAAGGTCACAGTTTTGTTTTAACTGTAACTATACGCAAAAAATGCTCCCATCAGTAAGTTAATTTGGGGCGCGGTAAATTCATCTTAGTAACATCGCACAGATGTTGAAAGCAATGACACTAGTCGTTTGCACTTCGGCGGAGAAAATTATCTGATTATCCACTGGCCAACTTAACCTACAATGCCCGAAAATGGTTAAACTAGTGCAAATATTTGGTTGTAGGTACAAAGATGTTCAAATTGACTAGCAGTAATCTCTGATTTCAGCTTGATAGCGCCCAAGTCGATTTAAATGTGGCCAAACCCATCAAGATAACGCTACTCACTTACTCATGTAAACTTTTTACAACCTGCCCAAACTTCTGCGTGAAGATGTTTTAGACTCATGTCAAATAGAAACTTCTAGAATCCTTTGCTTGACATCAGTCAAATTCTCATTTGTTGATGAATTTACATTCATCTCTTACTCTTGTACACTTTGACCTGGTTCCAATCAATTCCCTATTCTTGTTGTGTCACCAATTTACCAAACAGTCATTCAGGATTTTTAGAAAAACTTTTTTAATAATCTCACGCAATTAAGCCAACAGATGCTTACTTATTTGTCTAGCCGTAGTTAGCTCCCTACAGGCAATAACGTCAAAATTTTGTGTTCGCAAACAACGAGGCCATCTGACGCAGCGCTGAGTGAAACAAAGTTGATTGTTTCGCCATTAAGTCAATTATAATTACACACACAGACACATAACTTTCTGGGAATGATAGAAAAAAATGAAGATTTGTCTGAAAAGCGCTCCAACAATCATACCATTGCATCGGCCCCTATTCGGCTTTTCTGAACGAAGGTCGAGATGTTGTCGTGGAGGTAGTACTCAGATGCGAGCGGTTGTGCAAAGAGGATTATCAAAACAACTTTGTCTAGGATCGCAAGGGCTGAGCTGTCACCAGAATGCGACTGTTCCTTATTGGTCTTCCGAGGGACACTTGCATTGCGCGCTGGGCAAATTCGAGAGCCTTCAGCGTACGATCGAGGTGCTTCATTTCCGGTGACGCGGTCACTATGAGAACGCATTTAGCCTGACCTCCAAGGCATGGTTTGAGCAGATGGGTTAATTTCGAATCCCGATATGGTATCGCTAGGCCCGTTGAAGCACACTGTCCTGATTTACGTCTGAGTATCTCAAACACCCGAGCTAGGGTTACTAAGGATCGATTAATGAAACCGGTTTCCGTGTGAAGGGATCCAGTTGCGTCGATACGCTCGGCAGATTCAGAACCAGCCAAGTCGCAAAGGACCAAAGACGAGGTTCTTCGTTGACTATCGATGGTGCTAACTAAACTGAGGTGAATGCGAATAATGAGATGAGACCTCGACGACTCACTGTTGAGCCTAGTGGAACTCACTTTCCGCCGAATGTAGCCCTTCTCAATCCACTGCAAAGTCTCCTCCTCCGATGTTGCACGTTTTTCTTCGGCATTCAGGAGACGAACATCCGAACCGTTATCGCAGAGCTTTACTGGTGTAATCTGGGATGCCAACAGGTCATAGATCACCTCGTTATGGATTTCAAACATAGCGACGTTGATGTCAGTGTTCCAAATGCCCTGCAGCGGATCGCATAACGCGAACAATTCTGTCACCGCTCGTCGGCATATTCCAGGACAAGTCTTCGTCCCCTGCATTGTGTACGTTTTTCCACTGCCTGTCGGTCCGTAGGCAAGAATGCAGACGTTGTATCCGTCCACAAATGACCCAATCATCGGCCGAATTTCCTCAAATATGTCCATTTGACTGGCGCTGTCCTGGAAAACGCGATTGAATGCAAAGAATTCATCCTTTGCTGTGTAGGCTTGTGGTTGATTGAACCCCAGCTGGCGTCGATAGGCGAGGGTAGCAGGGTTGGACTTTCCGCACACAAATATTTTGTCCATGGCGCAAAACTCAAACGGAGAATCGCCCTCGTCGTCATGCTCTTGAGGTGGCCTGAAGCGGCTTATTACGCGTATGTTGCCATTCACCTCCTGCAGTTGGTTGTGCAAATCCCGTCGAGTCTCCGTCTCCGAGACATAGAGCAGCTGCAGTCTCTGATGATCGAACTGCAGATTCTCATAGGCCTCCCTCAATTGACTGTATTCTGCATTCTTTTTCGCCGCCGTCTTGCTTCCAGCCTCGGCTATTGCCAACTGGTTCCTTAGGTTGGAGTTCTCTGCCGAAATCTTGTCGGTGCGAACCCTCTGGTTGGCCAACTCTGTGCGAGCACGATCTAGATCCAGTTTAAGTTGAGTGTTTAAGAGGGTGACGCACTCGCGTTCTTTGACGTTCTCAGCAAAACACGCTTCAAGCTGCTGGTTGGCAGCCTTAAGATTCTCGTTGTCGCACGCGAGACGCTTCATTTCAAGCGCAGTATTCTCTAAAGCCAACTCGGTGTGTGCGTGGCCTTCCAATTTCTTCTGAAGTTTGCAGCTCAGCTGCATCAATGCCTTGATCTGAGCCTCCTTGTTATCGCGTTCAGCTAGCACACTTCGATACTTCTTGTTCAATTCTAAATTTTCTGCAACGCACCCCTCAGAATAGTCCTTCAAAGCCTGGTGCTTCTGCTGTAGGAAGCAGTGACTCTGCGTAAGTGTCTCGATTTGTTGTTGAAGGTTCTTCCTCTGGAGCATCAGCAGCTGCATCACACGCACCATCTTCAGCCTGTGCTCTGCTTCGGCTTCAGCTTTGCACTTCTTCGCGGGATCCAAGTCTCGAATCTGCTTCATGGAATGAAGAAGCTTTCGCATGACGCACTCCATCACCGTCTGTTTCGTTTTAAGCACCTTCATGTGATTGGCAGTGCTAACTGGTTTCGAAGCAAGCGAATCTCCCCCTCCTGGCTCACCAGCTGCAACGTGGCTTTTCAGTATGGCTTCGACAGCCTCCTCAGCTCCCTCGCCTTCTTCCACCGCATTCTGGTCGGAGAGTTCCTTCAGCGCCTTCGGCAACATATAGGGCTGTGAGTCCACTGGAGGCGAGATGTAAGGGGGCGGCGGTATCGATTGATTTGGGAACTGGTTTGAAACTGGTAGCACGTTTCCGATTTGCTGGTTATTAAAGCAATTAGAGATGGGAGGATTCATAGATGGAGCAGGATGTACTGCAGTCTGAATCTCGCCGAAATATGGGTACGCATTCTCTACCGGGGTTGCGTAGTTCAAATTAGGCTGCGGTTGATAAACTGTTTGTACGCCAGAATCAAGCGATGTGCGTAGACTGTGTGGATGAGGGTCCAGGTGGATATGTGATCCCTGGGGATCTGAACCGCAGTTGGTCATTTGCTTGTTCGGGGAACCATCGGCTTGGTGAACACCGCCCAGTCCTCCAGCCAACTTGCTAACTACTGGCAGGATCCTTGCTTCTGCTGAACTAGATACCTGGGTCATCGTTGCCTTGGCGAATTCGGGTCTCAGATTTATAGTGACTGATTTGCGAGTCGGTGGCTGCTTCGCTGACGAAATTTGTATATGGGACGTAGTAGAAGACCTGGGTGGGGGTGCTGGTGATGAATTTTTCGACACCGTGGAATCTTGGGACGATGGTGACAATTGAGCATTTTGCGTCGCTTGGAGAGAGTTGTGTGGAACAACCAGAGCAACGAACTGTTGGTTTGTCTTGGGCTGCGTTCGTGATATTGGCTGGCACTTGACTTGTGGCTGTGGAGGTTGCGCCATTGAAGATTGCTGTTGCTGCTGTAGAACCACTGGTGGATTTCGAGGTGGTGACAACGAAGACTGCAGCTGTTCTTGTCCTGGCATTCCAGTAAGATTATATTGTGGAATGTATGAATTAAACACGTTGGGATTATTTTGCGCCATCACGGATTCCTGTGGCTGATGTAAAACTGTCTGTGATCCCTCACCGGTAATATTTTGACAAAACTGCATGTTTTGATCGGATAGCTGGTTCTCTTAACGATGTTTTCTTCTCGTTTTGGTTGTCAAATCATAGCACGCCACAAATTGTGTCTCGCGCTTCGTGCACTCATTCAATGCCTGCAAATTCACGTTTTAGTCGCTGTGATCAATAAGCCACGTGGCACGAATTTTAAGACCGATTTAAATAAGGCGCCGGTTCAAACGAGGCGGGTTATAATGCGTAAAATTGGTCTTTGTGGAAAAATTAGGCTATCAGTTTGATTTTACTAAATTTTAGTTTACCTGCTCAATCAGCGGCGCTACAGAAATGCCAGCGAGCAGATACAACCGAGTAGATGGTCGTTAATGGGTTTCGCATAGAGTAAATCTCCTGTGTTTACACTGGAATTCAATAAATTCACACCCACTCTCAGTTGCCGAGATGAAGCACTAGTTTTATTGCCAAACAGGGAAATGCAAGTACTCATTAAAGTCGTGTAAGCAGACATCCGGAGCAGAGGATTCTGGGATTTCTCTGTCGAACCTACCAATTTATTAATCTCCAAGTCAACGCTTTAGAGCATGTTCAGGCCTAAAATACAGATGGTTTAAAATGCAAATTTCTGGTTATCTTGGCAATTCGTTGTCGTGGTTACAAACAGAGATTAAGCATGTCACTCAGGCTGCTCATGAAAATGTTTTGTAGATTGAAGAACTTACATTCCATTTACATGCAAAATTGCCGCCAAAACACGATAAAACGTCGTTCAAAAACTGACGGATTGTGTTATACTAGAAACCACTTGAACTGTCAAGGTTACAAAGATGCCACAAACTGATATAAGCTAAGAGGGAGATAGATAGAGCCTCATTCTAATTCCAGGAAATCGATTCGGCATATTGTTTGACTTTCCTGGCAGTGGTAAACAGTCTGTCACTTGCCCACAAATTTGCCCATGCGTTGATGTTTGGCAGTGTCCAAAGGTCAAAGGACAACTGTTTTCATTAATATAAACGTATAAAACTACAGAAAGGAAGGTGTGGATGTGCGTCGCGGAGAGTAGTTTAGTGGCGGATTGCACTGGAATGACTGTGTTAAGAAAAAAGAGCTGTTTGAGAAAGTTTTAGACTACCTGACCTGGAACAACCTCAACAGAACCGACAAGCACAATCAGTCAAACGTTTAGCATACACACTTGAGCCGATCATTTCATCACCACTCAATCAACGATTGTGAGAATACACATTGTCACATTTGTGCGGGACAATTTACCTAACCTCGCAACTGATCTCTAAATAACACTATACCTGGTTCGTTCGTCTTGATGAAATAACCCACCTTCCAGCTAGGATTGGCCCTTCTGTGAATTCTACCTGCCCTCTTGTTCGGGATTCAGCACCCCCAAGACTTCAACTGTCAAGCATTTCGACTCTTCCGATTTTCCACAATCGCTCGTGTTTATGTACACGAACTTTTGAATTCATATTCCCCTCATTCTTCCTATTGGTCGATTCACCTTTGGGTGTACTATTTCCTCAACGTTACATGAAGATGGGCTCAAGTGAAAGTGCACTCGACCCTTGGTTGAGACAGTGGATGCTATCTGCACGGAGTCATGTCCTGCACTAACATGAGAAGACGATGACACTTGGGTGTTGTGTCTAAGTACTGGTATGGGACGACTAATACGGGAATCGATTAATTGCGCTCGGGGTACTGAATTTATGTTCGGATAATCGTAACGCTCCACGTGGAAAGATCTGTGCAAACCATTCTTGTGCATTTTAACAAAGACGATGTCTGTAATGACGTGCAAATCATTTCACCGATGTTGGTAAAACTTAAATCACGATGCAGTGGTTCTTCACAAGCGATGACCAATCATAAAGCTCAAAATTCAACGCATGCTGTGTTCTTAAACATTACAAGGTTCCCCATCTAAGTCATGGAAGGAAGTCACTTGCAGAGCGAGTGATTTCACCGGCTAAAGACCAAGAAAACAAGCGACAACTTAATCTAAAAACGACACTGAACACGAACCAGGTTATGTGCCAATTCAAAAGGTGATGGACACGCATAACCACCCAATCAAAGATGCATCAGCGGGCCTTTGAGTAAAAGCATCTCCAGATGGGTCCAGATCATTCTGACTGGCGTCGCTAACTCACCACCA